GAGGAGCTAGGTTCCAATCCCCAGCAACCTCGTAAAACCTGGGAGACAGAGGGATGGCTGGAGCTTTTTGGCTACCAGCTCAATGCCCAGTGAGAGATGCTGTCTCAACAGAATGAAGTGGAGAGAAACAGATCCCCCAACCCCAAAGTCCTCCTCTGGCATCCACCTACACACACATACACCACACTGACACACGCACATCCAAACACAGGGAATTTCAATTTCAAATGAGGAAGTCTGTGTGAAAGCCCACCACTGCGAACATTTTCTTGAACATTCTCCAAGATATATCTGTATAGACAAATGACAGAAAGTATTTATGTATGCATAGTTCATCAGCATCTGCTGGTTTATAACCTGCTTGCTGAAATCTGATACACACGGTATAATCTTCCTATTTATGTAAATCTAAACTAATTACCACCTGGGTTCCAGGGCACAGTCATGTCTCAGGATTCACAGGGTTCAGCATGCTGAACACCCTCATATTCAATGTGGTCTTCTCATGTACCTATAATCATCTATTACTTATCACACTTAATGCAATGTCAATAGCTGCTTCATCATATTGTTTAGGGATAATGACAAAAAAAGATCTCTGTGTACGGTTGATATGCAGTTAACTTTTCTTTTTGAATATTTTCCATATGAGGTAGGTTAAATCCAAAGATACAGAATGCAAGGCCCTGTGTGTCATTTTGTACCAGGTTTCTATTTGCCAGTGTGTGATCGATCATCTTCAGGTAGTAAGTTTTTCTGGATGGAGTGGGGCTGCTAGGGTAATGACATAGAGAAAGTCCTTTAGGTAACAGGTCCCTACCACCAGGAATGCTCAAGGGGCCTGCCTACCCCATACAGTAGCTACAAGTGGGCTTTACTAGTCTTCCTAACTTTTGGTAATGTGAGAAGTGAAAAAGAAATATAATTTTTATTTAGTAATGTAAGCTTCTAATGGTGACGATAGATTCCTTCATATGTTCAATGTCCATATATATTGGTTTTATTAATTGTCTTTTCATCCTACATTTTCAACCCAGAAGCCTACACGTGTGATGTGTTAACACAACTTTTTTTGCATGGCACAAAGACTTATGTGCTTTAAGAAATCTTGCCTTGCCTGGCAAAGGTGGTGCATGCCTTTAATCCCAGCACTTGGTAGGAAGAGGCAGGGGTTTGTGGGTCTGTGGGTTTGAGACCAGCCTGGTGGACAGAGTGAGTTCTAGGACAGGCAGGGCTCAACAGAGAAACCTCATCCACTCTGTAGAGTACTGGCATTCCAGGTGAGAGCCACCTTCCCGAACTTTCCCTTACCACCAACAAAGATCTGTCCCTTTCTGCTGCCAGAACATGTTAGAATAGACTTCATCCAACATGTACTCACCAGAGCGGAACACAGAGAGCTGGGCCAGCATGGGCACTTGGTAGGGTTTCCCATCACCTGCCACGAAGGTGCGTTTCTTTGTGCTCTCGGGTTGAAACCTGGATTTCCACAAACCCTTGAAATACACTGCATTGACAAGGACCAGTCTGGTAAGGGCACCATCAATCAGATTCGGGGAAAGCAGGTTGTCAATCATGCCTGTGAAATTCAAGAACAAGGGAAAATATCAGCAATGGAAAGCCACATTGAGGGCAAATACAAGAGAAAAAAAATTTTAAACTTAAATCAGACATTCTGGTCTCATGGAGCCTAATCTCTCTATGTAGCTGAGAATAACCGAACTTCTGACTCTCTTGACTTCACCTCCCAAGGGGTGGGATTTCTGTGTGTGGTACCATGTCAGTGTATGTGGCACTGGAAATTGAATTAAACAGCACTCTACCAGCTGAACTACATCAACAGCTCCTCAACTGGATTTCCAAAGCACACGTTTTATACTAATTATTTTCACTCAAATTGAAAAAAATTAAGTAAAACTAAAAACAAATTAAAATCACCAGAAAAGACTGGTACTGGTTCCTTAAGAGTTTTCCAAACTTCAGCTCAAGAAATCACAACTATTTCTGTAAGCTCCTTGCTTTAGAACATTTTTATGTGTCTAGAATAAGCTGCATTTAATTAAGAATTATTTTAGATATTTTTACTGACAACGGTCATGCGGCTGCTGATGACGGTCTTTGGTATTGGTGTGATAGTATTTGCTTTTCTGTTTTTTAGCAGATAGGTTCATGCAGCCCCCATCAAAGTAAAATATCCCAGCTTGTGAAACATCAAAGCTAAATATCATCTCTTCCAGGACTCCACAAATGCTTGGAATCAATCCCTAGGTCATCACAAGCCTCCTGAAGACTCCAAGAAGAACCGAAACTGAGTATCATGTCCCCATTTAAAGCTTAGGCACTTAACTAGGCTCCAAGAGTCCAGAGATGAGAAGAAAGGGGGTTAGCCTACAGGAAATGACTTTGAAGGCAAGTATTCTCTTGCTGGGATGGCAGGATGCCAGGATGTGGCATCAGTAGTGAAGAAACAAACAGGCTTTCTCACTTCAGAGTGTTGGCAGAATCTTTCAAATGTCACCCATGCTTGATGTTAAGATTCCTTTTTGCTTGGTTTTAGAAGGTTTAAAGGTAGGAAGGAGTGTGTGCCGGGTGGTGATGGTGCATGCCTTTAACCCCAGCACCTAGGAGGCTGAGGCAGGCAGATCTGGTCTACAGAGCATGTTCCAGGACAGCCAGGACTGTTATACAGAGAAACGCTGTCTCAAATAAAGTAGGTGTGTGTGTGTGTGTGTGTGTGTGTGTGTGTGTGTGTGTGTGTGTGTGTGATTTAAATGCGGTTTCCTTATACCCAAAGCTATTAAAATTTAGTTTGTTTGATTTTAACACACACACACACACACACACACACACACACACACACACACACACGAAAGAAAGGGGGAGAGTGAGAGTAAAATCCACAGGTTCCTAGGAGGCCAGATGTCTAATTCAAGCAGAGACCTTCAAGTCTCTTAAAATGAAACTCAAGAAAGAGGAGTCCTAACACTCTCTGAAAGCCTCTGAAACTGTCAGACAGCACAAAAGAATGAAGTTTCTGGTGCCTGACACACAGTGTCTTCAGTGCTCTTCCTTCCACAAGGGGGCATCACTGCCACCTAAGCCTGGTCTCAGAAGAAAACTACAGGCTATAAATAGCCCTCAATCATTCAGTTCAGTGCAAGGGGGCCTCACAAACAGGTTCTTCAACAGCACTCCTTTAGCACTTCAGCTGCTGTTTCTGCCTCTTGTAGAGAACGTTACCCAACTGAATCCATCCTTCTCTTTTACAACCAATGTCCCTTGGCCCCCCTCTCCACCTTGCCCCTTCCTTTCCAGAGTCTAAGGGTGAGGGCCACCAGGCACCATGAAGGTATTTATTCTAGCCAAGTTGAATGAGTCTTGCCTCCCCCAACTGCACCATGCATCACATCCCTGCAAGGATTTTTTATTCCTTCTTCAGAATGTAGTCAGGGCTCAATAAGCAGAAGAAACCTCAGACCATTTTGCAGAGATAAATTATGGCTCAAGGCTGGGTGTTGAGTATCACAGTGCACACCTGCAATCCTGGCACTCAGGAAGTAGAGGCAGAAGAAATCAAGAGTTCAAGGCAAGCCTCTGCTGGATAACTAGTTCAATACCAACCTGGGATACATGATACTTCATCTTGAAAAAAAGCAAAAAAACAAACACAAAAATGCAACACCTTATATTGTCACTTTCAGGGCAGTATGTGTTAGGGCGGCAAAGTGAAATGAAAAAGGGAAATGACTAAGAAAAATCAGTAAGAAATGGATAGGTTAGAGGTAAGGGAGTACATGAGAGACCTGCTGTTGGTGTTGCCATAAATATAGATGGACTCTCCTCCATCCATCTTGGGATGCTACTTAACATGCCCCAAGTGGGACCCTCCCACAAAGAGCTAAGGATTAGAGGGAGATGCCGAAAGGATTTGGAAAAGCATAAAGCTTCGATTTTAACAAACACCCTGAAATGAAAGCAAATCCAAGCAAGGTTCATCTGAAATGGCAGACACGGTCCCCAGCTAGCAGGACTTCCAGCGGTTCTTGACCTGAGGGTTGCTACTCCTTTGGGGGAGGGGGGTCAATGACTCTTTCACAGGGAGTCATCTAAGACCACAGGAAAACAGATATATTACAATTCATAACAGCAGCAAAATTACAGTTATGAAGCAGCAATGAATATATTTTATGGTTAGGGTCACCATAGCATGAGGAACTGTATTAAAGGGTCGCAGCATTAGGAAGGTTGAGAACCACTGAGCAAGTCACTGTGAAAACAGCTAATTTTGTGAAGGGCCAGGCCCTGTGCTCAGTGCTCCTATTATCATTCATATCACCAAAAATCCTTCATGGAACTGTTATTCAGACAGTTATCACTAACATATCAATGTTCTGCAAATCAGGGGCTGGGCATTGGGAGGGGGCTATTAAGACATGTTACCAAGGTTACACAGCTGATTTGTGAGGGGCAGAACGGACTTTAGACTGAGAAAGAACAGAGCCAGCAGGTTCTGTGTCACTCGTGTGATGGCACAAAAGTAATCAGGAGCGACATAGGGCAGCAGGCTGGGAGACATTTCAGGCTGCTGCAGGCATGGGTCAAGGGGGAAGCGTCTGTGATGGGAGGAGAGAAGCCTTTGTGGCAGGGAGAAGCTGAGGCTGCGGAGGCCTCTAAGTCAGACCGGTCACAGGGTGAGCAAAGCACCCTGGTGCTAGTTCTGTCTGCAGGAAGCACATCTCCTTAGATAAGCTTAGCAGTTTGGGGACAGAGGTTGCTTGTCTGAAGATCTGGGGGTGTGCTTTGGTTGAGCTGGCAGGGGCTCATGTTCCATGGTGTTCAAAACAGCCCCACATAACGGAGAATGCCTCTCTTAAAAATAACAAAAGATTTATTCTTAACTATGTCTGTACGTGTATGTCTCTGTGTGGGTATGTGCACATGAGTGTAGGTACTCGTGGTAGCCTGCAGTTGTTGGATTCCCCTGGACCTGAAGTCATAGGCAGTGGTAAGCCATCCAACATGGTTGCTGGGAACCAAACTCTGGTCCTCTGCGAGAGCAGCAAGTGCTCTTAAGCACTGAGCCATCTTTTCAGTTCCTAATTCTAAATATTTCCATTTTGTTTGCTTTGAGACAAGCTTGGAAATTTATCAAGAATTTTGCACCATTATTTAAAAGAATTGCATCAGTTATTGATGGCAGTAGTAACTAAGAGCTGGGAGTCACTTTCTACCCTAAGCCCCATGTGGTTCACTGATTTTCAATTATGTCATGATAATTACTAATGACAAGAAGTGAAAGATAGGTCTGTTTGTTATTATAGCAGAAAAGCCCAGGAAACAGCCTGTTTGGGGTTATTATAACTGTGAAATATATAGAAAGTCTCTTGTTGGTTTGCTTTTTTTTTTTTTTAATTGTATCAGCAATGGTGACAGCTTGTGGTTCCTTGTGTCATAGTATAACATACCTGACTTAGTCTACTATTGCCGGTTCACAATTATCCTGAGAATTTGGCAAAAATATTAAAACAAAAAAATGTATCATGTATCCATATGCACTTGAACCCAAAGGTATAGCTATTTAACCACAACTATAAACTCTTTGTTTTCCTTTATATCATTGTTTAATTTAAAAAATCTGTTTATGTGTGCAATGGGAACATATAGAATTTCTATGATATACAGATATATTGCTATATATTTAATTATATATATTACCTGAATTTCATTTCAAGCTAGAAAGGAGGAGCTGCAGGCTAAGGATGTAGTTAACTGTTTGAGGGTTTGTTTTTCATGGTACAAAGTCCTACATGTTCCACCAGGAGCACTGCCAACAAACAAATGAACAAACTAACAGAGGGAGCTGGGTCTGACAGAACTGAAAAACCCTACTTGAGCTTCCCAGCACATGTGGTCAGGGGTTCCATCAGATAGTTCACCAACACTATGCAACATTATCTTTTCACAGGTAAAGAAAGCCATAAGGTACAATGACAGGACATCACACAGTCAGCATCAGGGCCAAGAGCCATTTCTGTGTGTTATGTGTTGCAATCTGCTACCACCAGACATACAGGATCCAGCATCCCCAAACCAGCCCTGGACATACACACTATTATTCTTCCTATAGCAGCATAGTTTTGGGAGTAGATTCCAGTTTGCAAAACAATTGAGAAAAAATTACTGGTCCACTCCCTGCACATCTTTCTTCCCCCTCTTTATTAGCTCCTCTGAGATGATCACGTTTTCACATGTGTAAGTAGAATGATGGATCATGGAGCCTGACCAAAGGTACCCTGCCCCTCCCTTAGAAATTCTTTTTCCAGTAAGTCAGGGCCAGGGAACTGTATTCTAAACACACCGCTGGGTAATCCTAGTTCAGGTGCACCAGGAACTAGGTTCTGAGAAGCTTGTTCCCCCAAAGGCAGGGTTTACCCTATTGAGTCTCTGCTTCTTTTAAGACTCCAACTCTGAGAGCACATTCCAGTCTTAGCATCTGTGAGTGTTAAGCTGTGATTGTTAAATGTTAAACCTAGAATCACCTGGGAAGAACGAATCAACAAAGGGCTGCCTTGACAGCTTTAACTGATGCAGTAAGACCCAGCATGAAAGCAAACAGTACCATTTCCTGGTTTTGTGGACCTGGACTGTGCGGGATAAGAGAAAGCTATCTGAGAATGGAGCATGCCTGAGTTTATTTCTCTATGCTCATGAGTGTGGATGTGATGTGACTAGTTGCTTTAAACTCTGTCCACATTTCCCTGTAATGGTGGGCTGGAATCTGGAATTGTGAGCTAAGATGAACCTTTTCTTCCCTAAACTGATCTTTGTCAGGATATTTTATCAAGCAACAGAAATGAAAGCAGAATAGCTTCTCTTTGTTGCAGTAGGCCCAAAGCTCCTCCTGAATGAGACTTCCGGCTTACGACAAGTCAGCAGGTTTGAAACCCTAACACTTGAAAACTCCATTTAATGAGAAGGGACATCTAAACAAGTAGTCATTATGTGATGTTGAAAATGCCATAATGGAGGGGTTTCAAAGCAGTGTCATCACAAGCCAAACAAAGCCAGTGGAGGGCACCTACAGCTTTGCCACGGCAGATGAGGCTGGGGTCACAGGAGACACAGAGCCAAAGCCTAAGAAGTCTGTTCCAGGCCAAGGAAACAGTAGGTGCAAGAACAGACAAAGAAAATAAGGAAACCTGCTAAACCCATGGGTAAGGACTCTGCGGGCACAGTATGGCAGGCAAAGGAGAGAGGGGGACAGCTGTATTCTTTTCTGCTGCCCACCCTGCAGGAGGAAAACCCTAGCTAGTGAGCAGTGGCAGCTCGAAGTGGGGGAGGCAGGCAGACTGAGACCTGGATCATGGAGAATGAAGAGGTCTGTCCGAGCCTGCCTAAGCCCACGTGGTTCTTGGTAGAGCAAGCAGTGGTCTTGAAGACTGTAGTGAAAATCTGAGTCTCTTCTCTTTCATTCACAAAACGTGAATCTACGTGTAATAGGAGAGCTACTCACCCCTGGTTTCATTTTTAACCCAAAAATTGATGGAATCACAGGCAGAGACTGGGTCCTGGAAGTTCACATTCTGCACTTCACACTGAAACACCTCTTTGTTCCTGGCTGCAAAGGGCACTTCCATTTTAAAGCCATTCTTGACAAACACAGCATTGGCCACCGTCACAATGTCTTTATTCTTCTTGGAGACAATGGCCTTGTTGATCTTCTTTAGCACTTTACCAACTCCTGAAGGAGAAATCAGAAAACATGGCAATATTTTTATGATAATTTACATATCAAAAAATTCTTGTTGAGCATAGTGGCTTATATCTGTAATCCCAGGAGTTGAGTGGCTAAGGCAAGAGGATTAGCAAGAGTTTAGGTTGAAGTCAGCCCAGGCTACAAAGCAAGACACTGTTCAAAAACAAGGCTCCATGAAGATGGCTCAGCAGGTCAAATTATTGTCCTGCAACCCATAAGGACTGGTGTGCAGATCCCCTGCACCCACATAAAAGCTGGTCATGCATGGCAGCCCACCTACAATTCCAGCCTGGAGAAAGAGGAGGAGACAGGAGAGTCCCTAAGTAGAAGTGACTAGTAAGCTAATTTGGTGAGCTTTGGGATCAAATGAGAGACCCTGCCTGAATACTTAAGGTTGAGAGCAATCAAGGAAGAAACTCCATGTCAGCTTCTAATCTTCACATGGATGCACATGTGTGTTCTTAAACTCATACATGCAAGTAGACATCACACACACACACACACACACACACACACACACACACACACACAAAAAAAACATCATTTGTACCACAGCATATAAGAACAACAAGCAAGATAGGAGTCACAAGAGACAAAGTGTGTCTTGTAAAGGGTCTCTATCTCTGGAGACACAGATAAGGTTAAAATAAACCCCTAAAGGTTCTTGTGAGACTACTGCTCTGGTACCAAGTATATTATGATGTTCTCCTTGTAGTCAGCATGAATGCTGGTCTACCCCGGGACTGGAAGCCATGGGAATGACAGGAAGTTTTCTCACCCAGACTCCCTTGCCTAACAGACTTAAGCACTATTTCCTTTCTTGCCAAGGATTCACAGTGTGATTTTTCCCCCTATTTGGAGAAAAGACGATGAATAAAATAAGCATTAGGAAGACTCTTACAAATTGTCATGTGCCGCCAACCAGAACACTGTGATTTTCACTTTGATACTGAGCTTGGAAAGTAAAGAAATTAATTTTATGGCAACATAAGCTTTATTTTACACCAGCCATTCATTCATGCTTCATTTAGTTTGGGGGAGGGGGCATGAAAAACAGAGAAAAAATTATGTCATAAGGATGTAAGATGGGTTTCCCCAGGGAGCTGAATTACAGCACTGCCCTAATCACCTGAGGTCTTTCCAAAATTATATTGTCCTAAAGCATCCTTCCAGAGTCACCTTGGCAGAGTCTGAGGGATGACTTGTCAGTCTGAACATGCATCTTCCTCAGATTCCATGAATACCAGGGCCAGGCCATCTCCTGATCCACAAGGAGAGCTTTACATTATGGACCAGACTTTGGAACCTTCATCCACCTTAACACCATGCTATGGGGAAACCGCTGTATGGAGATCAGCAGGCTTTGGGGGCCAAAAGTCACCTCCAAGGCCAAGTTCCAGCTCTGGCACTTTCTGACTCTGCTCGCTCTACATGTACAGTCCCTCCTTGTGATAAGCAATTACCAGCCAACTTAGCAGGATCTAGAATCACATTAAAAACCTCAGGGCATGTCTGTGAGGGTTGATTGAGGTGGTAAAACTCAGCCTACACCAGGGAGGTACCAGTCCCTCAGCTAGGGTCCCAGACATAATAAGACAGGAAAAAGTGACCTGGGCACCAGGTTTCTTTTTTGTTATTTCCTGACTAGGGATACAACATGACCATCTGCCTCCAGCTCCTCTGTCATCATTTTTCCTCCAAATTGTGAACTGAGATAAATCCTGCCTTTCATTGACTTGCTTTTGCCAGGATATTTTGTCCCAGCAATGAATAAAGGGAACTAATACACTCCCTGAGGGAAAAGATCAGGGCTCATATTCCATATCCTCAAACAATCTTGCATCTTCCTTAGTGAATTATCACTACAATAAATAGTGTTTGAGTTTGAGCTCCAAAGAAGGCCTCTAGCATGCCTAAATATATTATGAATCTTGACATTACCATCTACATATGACTGTTGGCAATTCTAGAGGGAGAAAAGGTAGTGGTAGATTGGTAGCCAACAGGGCAACACATGAAGATGCCGATCTACAATCAAGGTGGATCAGCATTAAAACCAAACCAAACCAAAACAAGACACAACTCCAGTTGCTATTTTGGAACTATGCTGGCTGACAGGGCTTGGATGGCAACAAGAAAGGCCATAAATTTAAGCAGTGACTCACGAAGGCAGTATAAATCACCAACAACCCTGAATGTCCCAGCCAGAGACAGAACGTTCCTTACATCTAATAAGTGGGCAAACTGCAAAAGCATGTAAAGTTTACTCTCTGTCAACAGGGGAGAGCACTGGGTATATGGGACTCCCAACATATGACTCCCCCCCCCAATATGAAGGCCACACTGAAAACACAAAGGAAGTGGCAATGATCAGCTACAGCCAAGGAAAAGCATTCTTCTACCACAAACCCAGCTCCAAGAGTCTTAGAGCTTCAACAGCTAGAAGGGGCGGGGAGGGGGCAAGAGAATGTGGCAAGAAAGCTCCATCACTTTCCAATGAGGTAACTGCTGCCTTGATATGAATCACGACTTGTTCGCACTCAGTGTGCATGACAGCAAAGAAGAGCTCAGAAACAGTCCTGTTCCCTCCGGCGCTATGGTTGTGGAAAGGGAGGACTAACCTACAGGGAAATACCACCAGCAGACACGTACTGTTCCTGTGGATAAGCAGGCAATTCAAAACAAGCTTTTCTTTCAATAACACTAAGCCTCTCTCATCATCCTCTACCGTATTTGTTGTTAGTTTGTTGGGTTTTTTGTTCGTTCGTTTGTCCTTTTGTGGAACTAAATATCAAACCCAAGGCTTTGTACACGGGAGGCAAGCCCCAGCCTCAGCACTGGGCTAGATCTCCAGGTTCATCTCATCTCTTTGAGATAGGCTTGGTATGTAGCCAGATGGGTCTTGGACTCTTGACCCTCCTGTCTCACATCTCAAATGCTATGATTAGAAGTGTGTTAGTTACCAGGCTCAATGGCTAGACAAGGCTGGGTATTTTTTCAAAAAGACATTTAGCTTCTTAATTCAGATTTATAAGTGATTTCAAATCAGCAGACAAGGTAGCTGGGGAGATGGCTCAGTCAGTGACGTTCTTGACACATAAGCATGAGGATCTGAGTTCAGATCCTTAGCATCTATGTAAAACCTGCCAGTGTGGTGGTATATGTCTGTGATCCTAGCATTGGGGAAGTAGAGGCAGGTAGATCCCCAGAGCTCACTGGCCAGCTCACTCCCATACTGCCAGTCTGTAATGTGGACATGTACTACAAAGATGCTTACTTACAACACCAAAGATTTCCTTTAGGAGAAAACAGTAGTGCTGGCAGGCAAAGGTAACACAAAACCCAACAGCTACAGAACCTAACTTTGGGGATGTCATCTTTCCTTTAAAAGACCCTGGCCCTATGTTCCAGATGTCACTGCATGACTTTTCTTGGATGCCCTGCTTCTCAGATTAAGCAGAGACAAAGCCAGGACCCTTCACATGCAGGACTGATGGCAAGGCCTCACAAATGGAAGGAGAGAGCACACACGAACCGTTTACGCTGTATCTCATCACCGTCGTGAGCTGCTTCTTCGTCCTTCCATCAGCCCCCAGCTGCAGCATGCCCAGGATGGATGCAATCCCATGTGGGGAGATGACGATGTTTTCATGAGGCCGTGACTTGATGATCTGATTGAAAACCTGGATCCCTGTGTCAGAGCCTAGTTCCTCCAGAGACAGAGAGTTGAACTGGGAGTACACAGAAGACAAAGTCACTGTGGTCAAGATGAAGAAGGGAAAATGCCAATTCATGGTTCCTTCCAACAGGATCAGCCTAAAAGAAAAAGCAGATAGAAACACATCACTCTTTTGTGAACACAAAGGGATGAATACTCTGAACTCAACTAGGTCTGATTTCCTGTGCTCATGATAACTGAACGCTGTGCTAAGTTAGTCTCAAATGCATGGGGTTTAGACAGACAGGGCTGGAAAGCAGTACATTTCCATCTGCTAGGTCCTTAGTATGTACCAGGCACTAGGCTGAAATCAGTATTTAAATCTTGTACATTTCCATCTGCTGGGTCCTTAGTATGTACCAGGCACTAGGCTGAAATCAGTATTTAAATCTTGTAACTCTGTCAGTCATTTAAAGTGTTATTTCCAAGAGTCTTCCATGTGCCAAGCCCTACTGTAAGTGCTAGACAGACAACTGTAAATCTGATGGGTGTGACCCTGGCCCTCTCAAGAGTATCCTAGAGAGACACAGGGAAAAACCAGGAAGCTATTAGGTAACTGCAGAGAAGAATAAAAGCCACAAATAAAGCAAAGTGATATGGGTGAATGAAGGGCCATAGGAGGGCCACACCCTAGGGAATGCCACCTCTGTGGCAGGCACACCGGTGAGGACAGTCAAATATTGAGAAAAGAACTAGCTATGCATGGATGTGGGAAGAGCATGCCAGGCAAAGGGACAGCAGGACAAAGGAAGAATAGGTAGGCTATCTGACAGAGGCCAAGGTAGACAGAAACCAAGTGTCACAAGAGACCACTTGGAAGGTTTTAAAGAGAGGGAATGATTCAGCTTGTCGGGATTTTCTTATAACCACCCAGACTTGATTCTTTTAATGTACCACACACAACTTTTTTAAATTACAGGGCTGTTAATTAAAACAAATTTCAGTGGTAGCTTTAAAGCTACAACAGGGCAGAACAATTGCTAAATCCATAAACTGTGCGGATGGCGTCACTTACACGGAGAACTTCAATTACAGCCATTTGCTTTAAAAATGCTTCAGTCCTTGATTGCCACCGACAGTGCTTTCTTTGGCTACGACAAGAGGTAGGAGTTTACATGTATTTATGGGAAAGCAAATACTTCCATTAAGTTAGAACTCAGCGGCAGCACTTAGCAAAAACAAAGGCAGAATTTGTGATGTTACTAATTTGATCCCTGCTTTTAGGCCCGAGGTTTCAAAAGGCACAAATCTCCTGTGGTGCCATTGGAACCCCCTTGTCACCTATGGGAAGTTCCAGAGGGAAGCATTTGGAGAGACAGGTGACCTGGAGTGATAGGAAATCAGTGGCCACAGGGAAAAGAAATGTGTGGGCAGGGTGGGGTAAACTATGGCTTCCTGCCTTCCTTACCCTGTTTTGGGAACGTCCCACACTAGGTCATGTATGCCTGATACTCAAAAGACACTTGTGGGATTAAGTCCTAGGGGCTATGAGCACCAATTTCTAATTTTATTATTTTTCATTGCATCAAACTAGAATTTACTGAATGTGGTTGAGGAAATGCTTGTGTTTAGTCCTGAGCATCACAGTGAACTCCAAAACTGGTCCAAGGAAATGCCAGCATCCAGGTTGAGCAAGGATTGTCAGCACAATCAGAATTCCCCACCTGGTCACCCACGTACTATGAGCCACTAAGGACATACCATTCAAGCACATGTTGTAATTTTCTTATACATTGTGAAATATGCAACTTCTAAAAATTCAGAACATTTAGGGTCTCTCCAGAGCTTAATTATAAAATAATTGTCTAAATTCAGCCTGTCTAAATTCAAAATGTGTAAGTGACCTACATACACTCCCACGTGGGGCCTCTGCTGTGGTCAGCAGTGGCCTATTTTGACTTTGGCACCTTGGACTGGCTCTAATACTACGACAATTGCCCGAGTTTCCTGGAGCCTGTTGGACCTTGGAGGACTTCCAAGCCCTGACCATGGCAGCTTCACTCACTCCTCTGAGTTAGCTCTGATTTCCCTTTCTCCTTCAGGGAATGAATTTCCTCTTTGAAATTTAACATATCACAAAGTGATTGAAAATTAAAAAAAAATGTGCAGAATCTTTGTACCAACCAGCCTCATCAATTTCAGTTTAATGACGCCTAAGAAACTGTTGGGTGAGGGGATATTTGAATAAATGGTTGGGTTTGTACACTCAAAAGGCACAAAAATATATCATGTTGGTTTTGTCACTGGTAGCCTAAAGCTAATTAACAGAGAGAGGGAGGGAGGGAGGGAGGAAAAAGAGAAAAAGAGAGGGAGGGAGAGGGAGGGAGAGAGAGAGAGAAAAAGAGGGAGAGAGAGAGAGAAAAAGAGAGAGAGAGAGAGAGAGAGAGGAGGGAGGGAGGGAGAAAAGAGAAAAAGAGAGGGAGGGAGAGGGAGGGAGAGAGAGAGAAAGAGAGAGAGAGAGAGAGAGAGAGAGAGAGAGTTTTGAAATGAGAAGGACAAATGAGAATAAAATTCTCAACTGCCCTAATATCTTGGCATCAGCATGGATACTCTCCCAAACAAAGTTACTTTGGTTACCATTCTAAAAGAACAGTTTCATTATAGTGGGAGTGTTTTTCTTGGTTTCTTTGCCCAGGGAAGTTTGAGAGATGTCCATGTTGGGCTTCTGAAAAGCACACTGGGCAGTCTCCAGGCTGTGTGGAACTTGGAATCAGGGCAATTTTTGATGGATGTTCTGGGCATAACTTCTGCTTGGCCAAATGCTCTCAAATCTAAACTCACCTGGCTTGTACACATGTCTAAGAATAAGCTCATGAGCCTGGAGTACTAGTGGATCCATAAATCTCTTCAGGTTTGAGTAAGTCCTAATAATAAAATACACTCATGCCCCTATAGATACTGTTTTACATGAAAGAAGTGTGGCTGGTTTTAAAATGCTTCATTTGCAGGACAAGCAGAATCCTGCAATGGGAAGAATATAGCATTATTTTCATTTAAAAAAAAAAACTCTTCAAACTTGGGTATGAGAGGAAGAATAAGTATTTGGCTCAAATGTATTGGGTAACATGGATATAGAAGTTCATAAATCTGGTTTGAGTGTTTCGCTTTCTTGAATAACGTTTTTTTGCAACAATAAAAAGCAATTCCTGTGCTTTAGACCATCATTGAGGGAGATCATAAGCCTACCAATGAAACTACTGCCACAGGCACAGGCTTCCAAATGTTGTCTTTCTCCTACTCCAAGCCTTTTCACCCCAGCAAGGGAACGCTCCAGAATAATTGGGTACTGCTCTGAGCGGTAAGCATGGCTTAGCGTAGTAAATAATGGGCTGCTAGTTCTGCAAATGCCAGATTCAAAATGCATACTTGAAAATGTGTCTCGTGGCCATGGCAGCCATGAGAGAAACACATGCCATAGACTTAGTAGCTTCAACTGTCACATCTACAGAGACAAAGCTGAAATCTCTGCTAATTTCACTGTCAGGCTTCCAGTAGCTTGCTACCTATTTCCTCCTGATGGTTCATGACACTCTCTTGACCTCAAAAAATAAATAAACAAATAAAAATCCCTCACTGGTGGGTTGCAGAGCCCTCAGCCTCCCACCTCGCCTCTTCCAGGATTGTTTTCTCTTGCTGGCCTTTCCTTTCCTTTTTTTCTCTATTGTTCACTTAGTGACCACCAAAGATTCCCCGACTCCTCCTCTGTGAATATGTCACCTCTCTCCTCACCTCTCATTTGGCTTGTTTTCAAGCTGCCCCACCTATTCCCTACTAGACAGGGAGCTCAAAACCAGGAGCCTTTAGAGTCCTGGAGCCTACGGGGTCTATTTAGAGCCTCACCATTGGCAAGCACTAAATCAGAGGCAGGAGCGAGGGCCTAATCCCACTGCTTGGGATATGGTTTGGAATGTGGTGTTCCAAAAATACTTTAGGAAACTGAAATTCAGGAGACGGCACATACAAGTCTGGATTTAGCGTTACTAAACAGGAAATGTGAAAAAAGAGAAGGGCTGGTACGGCTGGGCCCTCACTCTCACCACAAATGCCCTGCTTCCAGTGCCGCTCCTCAGGGGACTGGTCATGTGTCTTGATTTCTGTGGCTCTCTGTCCATCACTAGCCTGGGCTGCATAAGGACTTGCAAACAGAGCCCTAGACTGATTCGTTGCTGCCCTTCTATAGAACAGAAAATGAGATAGCCTGGTAAATGGTGTTATTTTCTAATTTTCTATTTAACAAGCTATTTTTATATAAAATATATCTTATCCATAGCACAAGTAGACAATAAATCCCATGTCCACATGCTGTATTTAACATAGCAAGCTATATGTAAACATTTTGGTGTAAAAAAAAAAAACCACAACATAAGTCTATAGGCTCTGAGACTTGGCCAGATGTTTCTCATCTGCTCTGGGGGACCCAAGAGTGTCTAAAGAAAGGACAATAGTCTATCCTCCGTCACTCACTAAAATATATTGGAAGAGCTAACAATAATAAACTACATGTGTGGTGCATACACACATATGTATGTGTATACACACCGAATCATGTATTATAGTATTCATAAAATATATGGAAAAATATAAGTCCACAATATTCAACATTTAGCAATAACAATGATCAAATTCATGGCTTATCTCTTGCATGTCAAAGATTATGCTGAAGCAAACTACAGATATCATAGAACAGCATTCAAGACCATTCAAACAAGTACCCCCTAGACAGGATATAGACCCACAATATCATTATCACTTAGCAAAGCAGACATCATAGAACAGCATTCAGGACCATTCAAACATGTACCCCCTAGACAGGATATAGACCCACAATATCATTATCACTTAGCAAAATCAATAGCTCCTTCATATGCTAATTCTCCAATGTTCTCACTGTCCTGATTGTCTTCTGTTATAACTTTATTTGATTCAAGATTTCCATAAGCTCCCGACATTACAGCAAGTTGATGACCCTCTTGCTTTTTCAGAACAACAACAACAGTCTCACGTTGCTTTACTTTTAACTGTGGTTCTAATACCCACTGGAATTTAATAACTGCATTCCTCTGTAAAATTGATAGAATCAGAGCA